CAGTGTGCTGCCTTCCTGTCTGTTGCAGAACTACACACAGTACATCCCCTTGTCCATCTATGACCTGCAGACCTGGATGGGCAGTCCATCGATCTTCGTGTACGACTGCTCCAACGCCGGCATCATCGTCAAGTCTTTCAAGCAGTTCGCCCTGCAGAGGGAGCAGGAGCTGGAGGTGGGTGGTGAATTTAAGCAGCACTGTCTTCGTGCAGAGTCGCGGACTCGCTGGTATCTCTTGTTTTTTTTTGTAACAAAGGTTATTAACTGCATTGGTCAGAACATAGAAAAGCACACCAAGGTGAGCAAGATAAATATGTGGTTGTGGTGTGAGGCTGGGTCTATTGTGGTAAGAGATCATCTTGGAGTTATTCTGGGGGTAAACCTGTAGGGATTTTGTTTTAAAACACCTGTTAGCATAGCTTATTCATATTCATTTTTCCCCCTAATCGTTCTGCTTATCCTTGAAGTGCCCAGGTTGTTATCCTGGAGGAGAAGAGCTATGGCTGAACAAGGAGGGCGGGCTGGTGATCAATGGCAGCCATGCACTTTCTCTTTTTACATATATATTTTTTTAAGTTTTGGATTTTAACCATCAGCCATTGCTGAAGGTGAACGTTGAACGCAGGAGAAAGTGGCCTGCTGTTTTTAAGTTTTCAGAGCTGTTCCCTCGAGTGACTCAGAAAGTGAGGAGTGTAAATAGAAATTTAGGCCCAGCACAAATGGGCGCTGCTTTTGGGGACTATTTGTCAACCTACTGGCATCTAAATGTAGTTGAGTCCACATACCCTGAGTCTGATAAACATCAGTATTCCACACCTCGCTGCCTCGTAAATAAATAGACTTGATTCTATTTTATATATTCCTGGTCACGCTACCTAGGATGAATCAGTCGAAGATTGAGGGCGATTCTAAATCCGTATTGATAGGACAAGGTTATGGCAGAAAATTGAAATTACTGTACATCACACTTACTAAACGACAAGTAGCCATGCTGAGATCCAGGTGGAAAAAAGCAGGGGACGATAATTAGGAATTATCCTGTACTCTGGGCAGAGTTTAAAGCTCTACTGCATGTGTATTAAAATGCATTAAATTACCTGTTCAGTAGCAGCTATATGTTTAAGGGCATGTGAATTCCTAAGTGAGTGTTTACCTACCAGGGGTATGTGCTTAGAATACGTACCCAGGAAAAAAATAAAAATACATTTACTGAAAAGACTTTGGAGTTGCTTTTTATTCTGTTTCCATATAATATGTGGGCAGCTGGAGCTGTATGAATAAATAATAGGATTCAGTTTGCTTTGGATTTTTTTTTATTGTGGCATCTCCTGTGAATTTTTAAAAAGCCGTCATTGCTGCAGCTCACTTTAAATAATTCAGTAGAAAGTTTTAAATTGTGGTAGATTATCTGGAAAAACAGAACAGAAAAATGCCTGTAACTCTGGCAAAACCTCCTGACTGTAGCTGGGTGGCTGCATCACCCTGCCCACATCAATGTGGATGGTTTAAAGCTCGCAGCTGACAGACCGCAGTCAAGTTAGCCTGCTATGTTTTTGTGCAGTGCGACGAGGGCAGTATTCCAGTGAAGGAAAGAAAAAAAACTTGCACAAGACCTCTTTAAGCCATAGGATGAGGTAGGCAAAAGTGGAGTATGAAATGAAAGCACTAGCCAGGCCCCAGTGGTTCAGTGTTGGATCTTCCTTGCTTTGTCCCAGGGGAACGAGTCTATGAATCTGTTCCAAGAAGGGAAGTGCAGCTTTCATCTGCCTCTTCAGCAGCATCGTGATTGAGTAGTAATCTATTTCTCACACACATGCGTGGTTTACAGGAATCGTCCCGAGAGGCACCTGCAGCGCCTGAATGGAGGGGATACCTGAAATGTATTTAAAAACTAATTGCACTAGGAAAATCCATACTAAATCAATCCTGCACTTAAGAGAAGGGGGGCATTGCATCTAACTGCTTTCCTGGTAACACGATCTTACCTTGACAGCAGGGTGGGTTATTATTATTTTTTTTGGTATTGTCTTGCTTTCCATGACAAGTAATTTAAAAGTGGTTAATTCTTGCTTGTTTGAACCCACTAATTAAGTGTGATCTGGGAGAACTGCTGGACAGCCGGTCAGTCCTGGTTATAGCCCATAAGCAGTGCTGACCTATCCTGCTCCTGCCTTCCATCAGCAGATGTTAGTGGCTTCCCGTTCTCAAGTGGCAAAGTCGTCAGTTTTTTAATAGAGCTGGAACAGTTCTGTAAAGTATTATTTCAGTTGGCATCGCTGTGTATCATAGAACCCCTTTGAGTGGGCGTGAGCCACTCATTTTTGCTTAGCTTTCTATGTCTGTGTTGGAAAAGTGGGGAGCTGTTGGGGCAGGGCTTGCTTAAAGGGGTGCCTGGTACCCCCTCCCCCAGACCCTTGAAAGAAGGGAGCATAGAGTTAAGTGTCTGGGCAACCCCAAATTTGAAATTCAGCCTCCACAGAGAACAGAGGATAGGAATGTGCACAGTGGCATGCTGTGAAACAAATTAGTCCACAGGGTTTCCTGGCAACAGATGGGGACCCCCCTCCTTCTTCCAGTTTAGAAAAGGGATGCCCCTGCTTGTGGCTTCTATTAGAGCTGTGTAATCCTGTTTGCACACTTTGAGCAAGTGGCTGACATGCCCACATTCAGAATCCCCAGCAAATTGAGAGAGTGCAAGCCAGCATGCTTTCATGGATCAGGAGCCCACTGCATCAACGTATTGCCTGCATTCTCTCCTTCACATAATTTAAACCCCCCAGGGAAGTGGTGTGTTTTAAAACCAGTTCAGGGGGCCTGCATTCTTTTTCGAAAGTGTGCAGAAGTGGTCCCAATGTGTCTGCGCGTTTTCAAGGTCTCTTTAATGCAGCAGCACCTGAAGAGCTGGGAGAAGCCGTTCAATCAGTCCAGTTAAGCCAGTGCCCCTCTGCTTTGTCTCCTTACGAGCGAAGCTGGAATGAAACGGCAGCTCTCCAGGACCAGGACCCCTGGCAGTATAGATTGATTGCTTTTATCTGGGAAATAATTGACCCCTTTTATTTCTTTCGTCAAATTTTAAATTCTCTGTGTTTTTCCCCCACCCACTTCTCACTCTGGCTGGGAATCTCTTGAAAATAAGATGTCGATCCCAGGGGGCCACTCTCTGTTAAATCCACTACATTGATGGTGAAGGTGTTGAAATGGAGACCTGCAGCTGAACAGCGGATGACGCAAAGGGTTTTCCGATTTTTCCTAAACCCATTGATGTACATTCTCCAGTTTCGGCATGGGAATCCACATGCGGAATACCTCCTTTTTCATGTGTTGCTTCTTTTGTCCTTTGCATTATTGCCTCTGTGCCCCAGCAGAGCCCTAGTTAAGGGGATTATTTTAATAAACTGCTTGAAGTTTGACTCTGCTTGAGTGGTCATATCTTTGAAATGGAGACATTCACCTGCAGCAAATCCAGCAGGTGTGCATTGACAGCGTGCAGACGAAACCTGTCAATGATATTTAACACATAAGAGCAGGGGAGGGAGACTGAGAGAGATTCCACAGTTGCTTCTCGGCAGGCCTAGTCAGGGCATGTCATCCTTGCATGTGATTGCATATCTTCCATGGGCACCACAGGACATGGCGTGTTAGTCATTGTACATCCCTTATCCTGCTTATTTCATGTACATTCAGGGAAGGTGCACAAACACCACTTGGGATTAAGCCTTCTTTTTATTTATTAAAAATACCAACATTCTTTACCTTGTGTCGAGTTTGCTCACAGAGACATTTTTTCTCTGATCTCTCCTTCGCTGGAGTGTAAAGCATTTAAGTCAAGAGAGTGCATCATGCTCACTGAGTGAGTACATACGCCACTCCGCCCCCGTGTTTTATAGATAGAGCTATACAGCCTTTGAGGATGATCCTCAGTTCGCTTCAGTGGACCTTCAGCATAATCAATTATTCACTCCTTGCAGCCCTTTTGCAGAATTTGTTAAGTTTATTTTAAGCAGATGGGCAAAGCACGCGTCTTGTTTTTTGAGTCCACACCAGCGCTGTTTTCACACGGCACGTGCGGGTGAGCATCGGAAGAAAGCCGTTAAAGAAAGGCGGCCGCTCAGCCTGCCCTGCTCGTGGTTCGTTGAGTTGGGGTTCCCATCCAGCTCATCCTGCCAAGCCTGTATGTGTTCACAGTGCGTTTCTCGGCACTTCCACATGTCCTCGTGTCATCAGGCGTCCATCCTGGTGTCCGCTTTCCCCTCGTTCTGGCTGTTGGTTGTGCCATGTTGCCAGGAATAACGTGATGATGCGAATTTGGTAGAACCGAGTGCCCCACTGTCCTGGATACTGCTGCCCACTACTGGTTTCAGTAGGACAACTGGGCACACCCAGTCCATCGCACTGGGCCCAAAGGGAGCAGGCAGCGCACCCCGTCGTGATCAACTAAGACCATCCGAGCTGCCTGCCTGGAACAGGATCAGGTAATACCCCGATGATGATGATGATGATGATGATGATGTTGACGGCACTGCTGTGTTACATTACAATAGCTTCATTAGTTCAGAGGTACAGAGGGATTGCATGGGCTGCCTGGAGCGAACAGCTGAATTGAAACAAATGTGGGCTTTGCCGACCCCACTCCCTGATTGTCTCATCTTTGTTGTGATGAAATCGTGGAGCGGTTTCACTCTTGTTGGCGTTCTCGGGTCCCCCCCCCCCCCACCTCCTCATGCGGGAGGGAGGGAGGCGGGGGTCGGAGCAAGGTTTGTATGACTGAGCCGCGTTCCACTTCGCGGGCCCCCCTGCTTTGTTGGAAGTGACTGAGCTATTATACGCTAGATCAGCGCCGCGCCTCCCCCTGCCTCGGAGCAGCGCGGCGGGTTTGATTGCGCGCGGAGGCCCGCTTGTGCTCCAGTGCCGTGTCTCATTTGCTCCACGGCTGAGTGCGAAGGCATTAATGATGGGTGGCGTGGAGCAGGGGAGGAGGGGCAGAGGAAGGCACCTGTTCTGGTTGTGTTCGGGCATCCTGTGCTGTGTCCCAGGGCGTGCGGCTTTCTTCCAGTCTGGAATTGAGCAGCAGCCTTCACCAGCGTTTGTCATTGTTCATTCTCTGTTGTTCTCGGCAGGCTGTCTGCTCAAAATCCCCTGCCTGACAGACAGATACGCACTCAGCTCTGCAGTACAGGAGAGACATTCCTCACCAGTGTTTTGATTGGACTGACTGATTAATCTGGCAGTGATGTCTGATTTGTACATTGCTTAATTGAGTCCAAGCCGCCAAGACGGGCTTAATGGCCAGTGCTGCTGCTGTTTCCACTTGTTTGTGCTCCAACAAACCCAGCCTGAATGTATGGAGAATTGCAGCTGGTACTGCTGGGGATAGAGCTCAGTTAACGGATCGGGGACAGTCTGTGGAAGGCAGGAGAACACTGGAGCCCTTTGTGGTTTGGTTTGGGCAAATGAGAAGGAACTAATGGCTGTACTTTTTGTGGAACTGTACAGAAGGACCTCTCTTTGATGTCCTGTTTTTTAGTAGAAAACAATGCTTTTGTGTGTACTGTAAGATCTTAAGAACTCCAGCTGGAGGCCAGTCTGCTGTGGATTCAGCCTCACTTGGTGTGGGGTGGGGTGGGGGGGGTGTGGAGGTGGCCAGAAGATTGTGTCCATTTTTGCAGAAGAAGGGCACAGTTGGCTTACCTGGAGCGAGCCTGCCGAGGCCGACCCTCCAGAAACGCTGGTGCCCACGGCTTGACTGACAGCTGTGACCATAATGATGAGGGTGGTGATGACTATAGGCGTTTCAGCTCCATTAGCGGTTGGTGGCATGTTCGTTTAGCGGGTATAAGGCGAGGGCCCCCTGTCTGCTGCAGCGTTGGGGTTGCAGCCTCTGTGCATGAACTTCACTGAGAGAGAGACGGCAGCACAAGATCTGGCCCAGCTTAACAGAAGCCTTTCTGCAACTTGGTAGCAAGCTGCAGATTCCAGTTTTTGTTTTTTATCTGTCATAACTGTTTTTAGTTTTCCTGCTGTCCTGAATTGCCCTGTTCAGCTGACACACAGAGACCGGACGGCAGGCTGGCTCGCCTTTCAGAGAAGGCCGTGGGAGCAGTCTGCGGAGGCGCTGCTCCCGGCTGAGAGGATTATTATAGAATTCTGTTTTTGCAGAGAAAAGGCGAGCCCGGATTTTTAACCTTGAAGATCTCCTTGCTGCATCCGAGGTTGTCAGTTTGTCATCAAATGTTCCGCCGAAGCTTTAAGGCCTTTTTCCGTTGGCACCAGCTCGCTGGGTTTGCAGCGCCCGGAGACGTGCGTGGAACCCTGCCCCAGCTCAGTCAGCGTAAAATAAATATTAAAAGACACTCTAAAGGGTGCTCCGGGGAAAATAACCATTGTAGTTTCCAATAAGCTGTGCAAAAATAAATAACCCTCTAAAAATAACACTCTTCCTATGCCTTGTGGTTTGAAGATGCAGCGGCTGCTTTCTGTCCAGCGTTTCGTAAATTCACTCTTTGGACCTCGGGGAATTCGGATTACTGATACAGCACTGCTGTACTGATACAGCATCGCCGCTGACCGCCCTGGCCTTGGCCAACGTCTTCACGCGCCTGTGATGGTTTGACCAGCCCCTCAGGTCTCCAGAAGAAATAATACACGTCTCTCTGCTGGTCTTGTTGTCCCTTGCCTCTGGCTGGTGTCATCAGTGTTGCTCGCTCTTCACAGCCCTTTTGCAACATCTGTACATTTATTCTAAGCCGATACATGCGGGTTGGCTTTTCCTGAAACTTTTTTGGGGGCGTTTTTAGGGGGTGGGGGTTGGTTTCAGATGGTTGTTGAAGAGCTTTTTCAGGGACCTCATCAAGAACTGCGCTCAAACCGGGTCGGGAAGTGGGTAATCCACAGTGTCGCCCCTGGGGAAACCGTGGCTGTGTCGTTATTCTGCTGTGCCTTCAGCAGCCCGCTAGCGATTCAAGCGTCAAACCGAGTGCGAGGTCGAAGGGCTGTGGCTTCCATGGAACTTGTGTGTCCTGTGTCTTATGCCTGTGCGTATCCCGCATTCATTATCCCAGAATTTCTCATTCTGCCCATCTCTGCCTCTCCAGGTTGCAGCCATCAATCCCAACCACCCTCTGGCTCAGATGCCCCTGCCCCCTTCCATGAAAAACTGCATCCAGCTGGCTGCCTGCGAGGCCAGCGAGCTCCTGCCCATGAACCCTGACCTCCCGGCGGACCTCTTCACCTCCTGCCTGACCACGCCCATCAAGATCGCCCTGCGCTGGTGAGACCCCACCTCATTCAGGTTCCTCCATTTCCAGAGTGTGCCGACGGGGGCCAGCTCAGGCGAGAGAGTTTCACACTTTCCCCTTCCTGTAAAGGATTGATTTAATTACTGAACTGTTGAGACAAATTTGTTCCTTCAGAATTTTGTGAAACCTTTATGTGATCAGTTAAATCGAGCCTAAAGTGTGGCAAAGCTTGATAAACTTAAACTTAATTATTGCTGCTAAATTGACCTAAATAAGATCATAAAACATTTGGTGTTTGGATTCAGCATTTACTGTCAACTTATCTCTGGAGAGTAATATCCCAACTGCAACTTGATGAGGACCAACAGGGAACCCCATGAGGATCTTGGACAACTAAACCTCATCACCTAAGCGGGAATAGGAATGGATAAATGGCTGATTTATCTTGGGAAATCATTTTTTTATCTCTCTGGGTACAGTCTGGCAGAAAGAGCTGGTAATGTTGGCTGTGATGCTGTTCGTTAATGGGGTACTGTTTTGGAGTTGTCCACCCTTGCTTTAGTGCAGAATGACATAGCTTATTTAGTCACAGCAACAAGCTTAACCCCCAGAAGGATTGAGGTATCATCCAAGATCAGTCCTGTCAGAGCAGTTTGATTTAATATGCATAGTCAAAGCGCTGTTTTTTCTTCTTTTTTTTCTGCTTATGAAATATGAAATTGACCTCAGCCTGTTCCATGACAGGCTCCCCACTCAAAACCCGTTTTAATTATTTTCTTTTCTAACGTTCGGATTAGTTTAGCTCTTTTCACACTGCAGTTTGCCTGACCTGCATATTCTTTAGCACAGTGCTGTACAACCCACCAGGTCTACTATTGTCCTAAGTCTCAGAGTACTCCCATGCGCAGTCCCTCTAATGACAGGACAGTGGATTTACAGAAACTGTTGCATTTAGGTCAGTGCAGCTGAAGTTCAGTTTGTGTGCGCAAAGCAGGAGATTGAGCTGTTTTGAGTACTAGTGGTCAGTGCAGATCTGGGCCGGGAGATTGTTCTAGACCGTTACAGCTTAGAGACCAGGCTTTTTGCTGCCTTGACACTCCAGTCTTGAGCTTTTTGGCCTTGAGAAGCTGCTAAGCTCTTGATATTTGAGGTCCAATGACCAGTGTATAAAACAGCTGCACTGAAAGGGTATTCTCACAGATTGCATGTGAAGCTACTTTCCTGACATGGTGTGTGAAGGGAGGCAACACTTTGCTTTATCAACACTCCTGTAATTCCGCTCGATAATGCTAGGTAGACTGGCTTGTCCTCTTATTAAATGTGCAGCAAGAGCTTTACTCTGATTCTCTGTTAATTGCAGTGGCAAGTGCCTAATGTGTGTGCTACCTCTTCATTACTCAAGAGACAGTGGCAGCTCACACTTCTATAGAGAGGGGAGAGAAAGGGGCTTTTTCTTGCTGTTGGGGGTGTTTTTACAATGAGAGGCAGGGATGGCTCAGAAGGGGAGGTGGAGGGACGGACCTGGACAATTTGTTCTGTTCCATTCTGTGCCACTGAGAGTCACGCTGAAAGAGATCTTCAGCTGCAAAGTCAATTAAGTAATTAAAGACTAATTAAATCAGGTAGCCATTAAGCGAAGTCTGTTAAGCAGCTGAGGCTCAATTAAGTAGTTAAAGCAACAGTTGGACTCCATCCCTGCTGTGGCAGGACATGGAAGAACCTAGGCTGTCCGCCCCTGGTGTTAAATGACTGAAGTCCTGTAACTCCTTCAGTTTCCAATGTTTAGCTCTACAGGATTAGTCTTGATGAAGAGACACCAAGCTGCTTGATTTGATTTTGGGTTCACATCGAGCCCAGACTCGCTTTTCACAGCTCCATGAACCAGTGCCCCACACTGGGTGCAGGGCAGAGATCAGCTGAGCTGAGCCCTGTTCACCTGGGCTTGGGAGCTCTGCAGGATATTCTGGATTTGATCATTAAAAGATATTTGACAGTAAGAGGGTCCTCTCTCGCCAGCCTTGGCTTGCACAAATAGGGAGT